CCCCCCCCTTGCGAATCTCAGAGCGAGGTGCCCACGTATACACCCCCCAATGTACCCTGTTGTGTGTCACTCCCACCTTCTTGGGTGGAAGGGCCCTGCCCAGCCAGCAGCAGCTTCTGGATGGGGCTCCAGCTGCAGCCACCCCATGGGAACCTGCTTGGCTTCCTGGAAGCCCAGGGCAGCAGGTAGGGAAGCGACAAGGGAGAGGGGAGTTGCAGCTGGGCAGAAGCGCAGAGCAGCACAGAGCCTGAGCCCAGGAGGGCAGCAGGAGCACAAAGGTTGGCTGGGCAGGGTGTGGAGTGATGGTGGGGAGTATAGGGGCCCCCCCACACACTTTTTTTCCCCATGGCGTGTAGCCTCCGCAGGACGAGGAGCGCAGCCCTAGGGCAGCCTGCCCACCTGCCTCTATCACAGGGACTCTGCGTCACGTGCCTGCAGCTCCTGCATTTGCAGCAGGGAAGCTCCGCGCTGGACTCTATGGGGAAGTTCACAGCAGGGGCGGGGAAGGTAGCTGGCTGTGGTGCAGGGCTTCCCCTGCTGCTAGTGCTGGAGCTGCAGGCATGCAGCATGGAGCCCCAGCAATAGAGGTAGCCAGGCAGGCTGGGCATCATCATTTTCCCCCCCCCCTCCCCCGGGCTGGCCGGAGCTGCGCCACACTGGGCACAGGCGCTGGGCATGAGCACCCTGATCTCCCTGCCTACTGCTTCTGCCAGCAGCAGGGGCTGCATGCCATGAAGGGAGTGCACGAGGGGTCCCTATATACCCCAGTTTCCTTCACACCCTCCACAACCATGCCCTGTCTCCACAACCCCCATTGACATATACATACATCCCAACATACCCTATGCCCCCCTACACAACCAAACCCTCTTGTAATGCCCTCACATTCCCCCCTTGCCACACACACATTAAAAGTGACAGTTTACTTTTGAGTTATTATGCAATCTCTTCTACTTACAGTACACAATCAGAAATCATGACAAATATTTTTTGTAATAAAATTAAAATGTATTATAGTAGGTGCTTGACTTCTATGTATGATTTGGGTTTTTTTCTGGTTCTAAGATGGCAACCTCCCCTCCCAAAATGAGTATTTGGGGGGGGTGGGAAACAAAGGGAGGGACTTCCGGTGGCAAAGGTCAGGGGCTTGGAGGGCAGGGCTTCCAGTCCTAATGTGGCAACCAGGGGGTGGGGCTGCTTATGTACTGCTGTGCACCCCCCC